AATTCATATGGGACCCACCCAGATAATGTTGCCTATGGGCCTATTGTTGTGTCGTTACGCCATTCCCCCCATTAAACTCCGAAATTGAATTCAAACGATCTAACCTACTTTTTCAGTGCTACTTGATTTTAAACAGGTAAAACCATAGACGTAGATGCCCCATTGGACGCTGCCTGCAGCTAGGCTGACATGCTTACAAAGCGGCCATCTTGGGTCAGAGGTGTAAGACAAGTCAGAGATATTATCGCAATAATCTTTTACATGTCACATCCCCTTAAGAGACCAAAACAAATTTTAAAATTACCTTTCAGTTAGATTTCACCTATTTATTCAGATTAAAACAATTTAAACTGAAGTCATACTTGATTAAATATATACATGCAGTTATATATTTAGCAATTAATAAAATTAAACACAAAGTTTTATATTAATATATTGTAATATATTAAATTATATAGTATATTATTATAGAGTATTTTTAAGGATTGTACTGTGATAATCATTATTATCATCTATAAAGAAAACTTTGTTGAAATCTGATTTACAAAAGAGACTACAGTCTTAACTAGTATCTATATTAAATTTAGAATTAAATATCATTATTTTGCTAATGTCAAGAATGTTTGTCAAATCCTAGGAAATGATAAATTTATGATTTGTCTACCTAAACGGTTTTTGTCCTGGGGTTCGTTTTACGAAGCAGGTTTATCTCAAATTTGTCTTAACCTGAAAACAGCGAAACTCTGAGTTTTACAGTTCAAAACAGGGTTCATTCAATCTCTGTTCAGACACCATAGTAACGTTCTCCCCAGAGCTAACCTGCTTGGTAGCAGGTTTTCCTCAGTAAACTCGGCCTGTCCTCTGTCTCCGTTCTCCTTACAGCCAATCACGCTGTTGTATTTCTTGATTCAGTCAGATTTTTGTCGTGGTTTTGTACATAGAAAAAAAAATCCCCAATCAGAGCATGCACACTTTGAAAAGTTGACAAGGCATGAGATTACTTGTTTTTGGTCTGTTCAACATGAGTGAGATGCAGATAATTCTATTTTCATTTAGTTGTATTTACAGTACATGAAGAACTACTGAAATTATTTTCAGATTACACATAAATCACTTAATTAATTTTGTGGGGGGAAAAGGAATAACTTTAGGCTTAGGATCAGGATTCACTCGATAATAACAACCTAATGAGCCTACTTGCACTATCTGAAGCCATTCTATGTGGTGGTAACCATGGCGTACTCCAAAGCAGCGGCCAAGAAAAGCTACTATTGATACAAACTATACTTCAAACACGCATCTATGATCGCCAACGACTGCTGGAGCTATGGTCTCAAAATGTTTTAAATACTGAAATTTTTGACCATTTAAAAAGCTGTGGAGTGCTACAGACGGATGTCAACAAAACAACAACGGAATGTAACTGCCAAAGGAAGAAATGCGCAAGATGGAGAAATCGAGGATGCAGAGGGGGCGAACTGTGAAGCTAAAGAGAAATCCTCACAGATCTCCACTTCAATCAATCCTGCTCTTCAAAGCCCACTAGAAAACAAAATGGATAATCTGGAACTCAACGAAGGAGATTAGTAACTGCTGCGCCATCATTCTGACGGAGTCATGGCTGCATCCAGCAATACCGGAAAATGTTACTAACCTGGAGGGGCTAAAGCTATAACGTGCCAATAGGAACAAAGAGCTAAGCTGTAAGACTCGAGGTGGTGGGCTCTGTGTTTACATCAACAGCTGGTGCAAGACCCCTAGATCGGTTGCCAGCTTCTGCTCTCCAGACATTAAGGTTCTGACTGTTAACTGCAGACCTTTCTGTCTACCCAGAGAGTTCAGTGTGGCCCCAAGTGCTACAATACTAAAGAAGCCCCTCTATACCAGGCTATCTCTGAGCTCCAATCTGCACACACAGAGGGTGTTTTCATCATTGCTGGGGATTTTAACCAGGCTAACTTGAAGACTGTTCTCCCTAATTTTTACCAACATGTGGACTTGGGGTCAAAACATTTTAGACCTGGTTTACTCTAACACCAAAGATGCATTCAGAGCAGCCCCCCACCCCCACCTCAGGTCATCAGATCACCTATCTGTCATGCTTATCCCTGCATATAAGCCCAAGCTGATTAGGGCTAAACCGACAGTTAAAGAGGTCCAAGTGTGGTCTGAGGACACCATGAAGAAATTCCAAGACGGTTTTGAATGCTCTGACTGGAACATCTTCAAGGGTGCAGCAACATATAACAACTTATTAAATATTGTTGAGTATGCCATGACTGTGTCAGCCTATATCAACAAATGCATTGAGGACGTCAGCATCAAAAAGAACATCACCACCCGGGCCAGCCAACCACCCTGGATAAATGGAGAGGTTCGGAAATCGCTAAAAGCACGGAACTCAGCTTTCAAGTCTGGTGATAAGGAGGCACTCAGAACAGCGCGTGCCAACTTAAACCGCCATCAGATCAACGAAGCAGCACCACTGCCAGAAAATCCAGGATCTTTTCCACGACGACAGCAACATCAGGAGGATGTGGAAAGACATTCAGATGATCACGGACTACAACACATCCTCCCCCCGGTAGATGCAGCAAACACTGACTTCCTAAATGAACTGAACAACTTTTTTGGAAGGTTTGAGGCAATAAACAGCACCCCAGCAGTAAAAGCTGTTCCCCACCAGGGAGAGGAGACACTAAACCTGGATGTAGCTGAATTGAGGAAAACTCTGAGGAAAGTCAATCCAAGGAAGGCCCCAGGGCCTGATAACATACCTGGGTGGGTGTATAAGGAGTTTGCAGATCAGCTGGCTGGTGTCCTCACAGACATCTTTAACACCTCACTGGACCGATCCGTTGTGGCAGCATGCTTCAAGTCTGCCACCATTATTCCAGTCCCAAAGAAGCCTCAGGTCACCTCACTCAATGATTACCTGCCTGTCACACTGACTCCAATCATGATGAAGTGCTTCGAAAGGCTGGTAGAAAAAAACAAAAAAACTGAGAGGATGTAGAGCTGGTGCAAAGATAACAGCCTAATCCTGAACATGGAGAAGACGAAGGAGATCATCTTGGACTTCAGGAAGAACCGGCCTAACCGCGCTCCACTGGTCATCAACAGCTCAGCTATAGAGGTGGTCAACAGCACCAAATTCTTAGGGGTGCACATCACAGACACCCTCACCTGGAATGTAAACACCACCTCACTGATCAAAAGGGCACAAAAGCGCATGTACTTCTTGTGGAGGATGAGGAGGGCCCACCTGCCCTCATCTGGGCTCCTATTCCGTCCATTAAAGACATTTCATCCCAGTGCAGTGTGTCCCGAGCCCATAACACCATCAATGACGCCTCACACCCCCACCATGGACCGTTCTCCCTGCTGCCCTCGGGGAAGAGGCTTTGAAGTATCCAATGCAGGTCCAGCTGATTCCATAACATTTCTTCCCCACCACCATTAGACTGCTGAATGTTGTGTAAAAAAGGTTATTTTATTTATTTATAAAAAAAATAAATGTTAGAACTGTAAATATACAGTCATATGTTCATCTTACTATTTTTTATGTATTTATTAATGTTTTCAAGGCTGCACTTTAAAAAATAAAATTGTCTAGAGCTGTTTTAAATGAAATTTCTTGTATACAAAATGACAAAATAAATCTGTCTAAGTCTATGGGACTGATAACCTCAGTCCTGATAACCTCAATAGATATATTGATTTTATAATTTCATTGTATTTTATGATTATGTACAGCACTTTGGTCCTATTTGGTATTATTACCTATTACTTTGGTATGAAGTGCTTCATAAATAAAGTTGGTATGGTACGGTATTTATCTACTGCCATTCAAGAAATAATTTTGTAATATCATTGCTGTAACAACAGACTATTAAAACTATGGCAAAAAGTGATAAAATAACATATTTCTCACCCTTAGCTGGGTAGGTGTTAAATATATAGTTGCTACATAACAGTGGTTTGAGCTTGCCTTGAAAAATACACAAAATAATTTTTCATATTTAAATTAGCGGGTTAAGCAGGTTTTTCAAACACGGATTGGCCCCGCAACTGTTAGCATTTGGCTCCTTTCCCATAAAAAAAAAGCTGGGTCTGAGCCCCTATTGGCGAGCTGTGCGGCCTCTGTCTCCCCATCACTATATGTGTGGTGATGCCATTGCACATGTTCAGTGGTGATGATGTCACCAGTTCAACAGGAATCAAGAAAGTAAGAAATAGAGAGAAACAGGGAAGGGAGCTCAGTAAAAGTCAATGTGCTTTATTGTTTCACTCTTTTGTCTTTGCGAGTCTCTCTTACAAGTGCTGCACCATGGTAAATGAAAATAAGAAGAGTTCCACTGCAACTAAAACCCAATTATTTGCTCATTTTAATAGTTATTTAGTCCAGTGAGACTGGGATATAATATTTAATCTGTAACAAAGCCTAATGCTAGTGCTGCAGCCTGCTGTTCATCATAGCTGTAGGAGGTACTCCTATGTGTTGACCCATACGATTGCAGCTTTGATTTAAGAAAATTAGTTTTCCTTCTGATTTTGTATTGTAATAACTTTATTAAATTTAATCACTCATTTATTCATTCATGTATTAATTTAATCTTTGATTCATAGACTTGAAACACCGCTTTGAAGACAAACCTCCAACATTTCAGGACCTGAACAAAAGCATTGAGACACTGAATCTCCAGAAAAAAACTTAACAAAACCAAAAACTACAAGGCAGTGCTACATTTTCTTCATACATTTTTTTTTTATAAATAATGGTTTACAACACAATTTTAATGGGTTGCACTAATTTCTGATTAAAGTTATGTATTAACTCAGATCTCATAGTAGATTCTAATGAAGATGTTAATGAGTGATGTAATAGCCTCTAGAGACAAGCTTCCTAGAGGTTTGTAAACTCATTACACTTAAGCATGAACTTGCAGTGTTACACGTAAAGCATCAGACACATCTGGATGTCAGGTTTAGGTAAACTAGTACAAAAAGACAGTGTGGAAACTGACAGAGTGGAAGCTGGATGTCAAACTTTTAACATTTTTGATACCTGTGTTCTGTTGGTACATAATGAATAATGACATGAATGTTACCTATATTTTATTGGATGGGTATGTAGAAATGAGCAAATACAAATATGTTTATTTTTTAATCATGTTTTCTGCTTATATACTAATTATATGCAGTAATTTGACTATTGTGTACCTCATATGGGTTAACAAAAACCTCCATGAACCAATGTATGTTTTTATTGCTGCGTTGCTTGTGAATTGTGTTTTTTACAGCACGGCCACTTACCCAAAGCTTTTGATCGACTTTTTGTCTGAAAAACAGAAGATAACTTATCAAGCCTGTCTCCTTCAGTTTTATTTCTTCTACTTTGTAGGGCCAGCCGAGTTCTTTCTATTAGCAGCCATGTCCTATGATAGATATGTGTCCATATGCAGGCCTCTGCTATACCCGACTATTATGACAAACACCACAGTTACTGTTTTCCTGGTTTTCTCTTGGTTCATACCAGCTTGTCATGCATCAATTCCACTAATAATGCTTAGCAGCACTAAAGTTAAACTCTGTAACTTTAATATTAAAGGAGTATTTTGTAATAATGCCATTTACACACTTCAGTGTGCGATGCCAAGATCTCTTGCTATTTTTGGTGTATTTGCAATACTGGATGTAGTAATACTTCCTATACTTTTCATTTTGTTCTCATATACAAAGATAATGATTATTTCTTACAGAAGCTGTAAAGAGGTGAGGAAAAAAGCTGCTGAGACATGTCTACCCCATTTGTTGGTTTTATTCAGCTTGACTTTGTTGAGTGTGTATGACATATGCATCGTTCGAGTGGAATCAGGCATCTCCAAACCTGCACGTTTAATTATGACATTACAAATTGTTTTGTATCATCCTTTATTTAATCCATTTATTTATGGGTTTAAAATGAAGGAAATTTACAAACATCTTAAGCAATTTTTCTGGAGAGTAAAAATGCTCTTAACTAAAAATCCACAGCAGTTTTGAATATACATTAAATCTTGAAATTATAATTTATTTTTTTTATATTAATATTGCTATAAGTGTGTAGTTATTTATGAAATAAATCTGAAACTCCGGCTGCAATGTTTTTTTTAATTTTATAAGAGTATATAAGATCACCAAACTTTGCCCGATGTATTTTGCAATTAGTTTTTAGAAAAGGTTGTTAAAGTCTTATTTTATAGAATGTAATCTTCTGCTATTTTAGTTTTTCTTTTTTGCTTCTGTGTTTTTAGCATTTAAATTATGTGCACATCTCAAATAATCATTATATAAATTGACATGGGATTATCAGATAGAGTTGCTCATTAATTGTATTAAAATTAAAATGGAAAATTTCTAATCCCAACCTGTTAGTGATTCTGCTTGTTTGCACGTACACAGTGTGCAAGGTTCTGGTAAATTGGCAGGTAGACACTCATAGCTATGCTTCCACAGCAGGATTTGCCCATGAACACCTCACGAGGGCAGACTGCATTTCAAACATATTTCATTTTCTCCCAACCTTATGATTCCTGTTCGGGAGGTGGTTGTGAGTGTCTAATCACCCCTCGTTAGCCCCTGTACACTTCAGGAAGCAGGGCGCACGGTGAGGCGGAAACTGGGCCCAATGCAAAATATTTTCGCACCACGGGAGAATCGGCCTGAAAAGGACAAAAACTTAAACAGTGTAAGCCCACCTATAGAATGCCTCAGACTGCTTCTGAAAGTTGAGGGAAACAGGCAGACAATACAGTCTCCCTTGGGAATCCATTGATAAATAAAGACTTGAATTTAAACTCTTAATCATTCACCATTCTAACTTCTGTCAATCAAATGAATCTTGGGGAGGTGGTGTAGGAACAAAATATCCTGTTGTTTCACATTAACATTTGATTAAAATTATTTAGAGTTCTCAACAAAGATTAAAAATGTTTGATGTCAAGCACTGCAGCCCATTTTATAAGCGCTGACTACAGTAGTTGTTTTGCATTTTTTTCTAATGGTCTTTTAAAGTATGTCTTCGGAGCAACATCATTCAGGGTATAAATATTCTAACATCAATTTTCTTTTATCTATATAGTGCCTGTTCACTTTATGTCATCTCAAGGCACTTTACAAATTGAATGCAATGAAATCCTACAGACAAATTAGTCAAAAATTTCCTCCCAAAGGAAACCTAACAGATTGCATTATTTATGACAATCAAAGTTATTATTTGCATCAAGAAGGCTTTCCAGTCTTGCCAATCTTTATTTTTCTGTTTGCATAACCATGTAATCCCTAGTACAAAAGGGACCTGAGGTGAATCAATTATCAAAACAAAAAACAAAAAACTGTTCAACATGGTCAACCCCAACCAAAATTTAAACTGATTCAGTGACAAGAAAAGACTGATTTTTCTGATGGCCATTCAAGGCTATGACCTTTTGGGTATCCGGTGATGAAAGAAGCTTTATTCCCAGTGGTCTAGTGGTCTAGCAAACGCCTTATATGAAGAGTTCTCCCCTTCTGATCCTGTCCTTTTACAAGACGGGATCTCACCTGGTGTCTCTCTCTGCCACAGTAAGGCACAGATTCAGTCGGTGGCCTTTGTCCTTCTCCTCCTTGGACAGAACCAGTTGCATTGGTTCAGGATAAGGTGTTTCACCTGGACCAGGAACCGCCATAGGTGCAACAGGAGCAGGATGAGAAGCTGGTGTTCAAATAAATTATCATTTGCAGCTGCATCATACGTTGCGATTTCTGGAATTTTTTTTAAAGATTATGTCTGTCACAGTGGGCATTCACCTACGAGGATAATTAGAGAGCCCTGCATGATTTCTAAGAACCTCTAAATAGGGCCAAGGACCTTCACCTCCACTTTTTCCTGAAAAGTACTCTGCTTAAACGGTGTTGCTTTAAGGGAGTTCACTGAATTTATTTGTATTTGTGCAATTTCTCTCTCTGTCTCTGTGTGTGTCGGGTGTGGCCTGGCGGCTGGTCGGCGTGCTTTTGAAACGCCATGGTGGTGGGTACGGGAGGTTTCTCCACACTGTCACGGAGACATGGCGTGAAGGTGGGCGCTGGCTCTCCACACAGCCCAGAAGAATTTTGTTTGGCTATAGGGGAAATGATTGGACATGGGTCCATTAAGTCCACAGCTCGTATGAGTGGAGCTGTTGTTTAGTTTGTGGAAAAGATGGAACAGGCTCATGTTTTGGTTGAGTCTGGAATTGCGGTTAATGGTTCGTTTATGCAGGTGTCACCACTCAAGTTGCCAGCTAATAAAATCACTCTGTCAAATGTCCCTCCGTGCATCAGTGATGTTTTTCAATTTAAAGAGCTGTCCCGACACAGAAAGGTTGTGTCCCCGATTAAAAAATTATTTCTCTGTGTGAATCATCACTCCTGAAGCATGTTGTGTCTCACAGGAGACAGCTATACATGATTCTCAATATGAGGAGATGAGGAGTTTAATGTGCGCTTTCATGTTCAGTATGTGTTGTTTGCAACATCAGCACATATGAAGTGTTTTGAAATGTGGTCAAGAGGGACACATTGTAAAAATGTGCCCTGACAGAGCTGGACCGACTCAACCAGACTCTGAGAAACAGCAAGGAGGCCCATCTGATGAGAGCAGGGCGGGAGCGGTGGAGGTCGCGGCTGCAGCGGTGTGTGTACTGTATGACGTGTAAAAAAACGTTCTCCTTTAACTGGTTGCCTCAGTTTTATCAGGGTGTTTTTAAATCCTGTGCTCTTTTTAAGTTAAAAAGAATCAGAATGCCTAACTCTCTGCATTGGCAGAAGAATCTTTACTCTGCATTAAGAAAAATCTTTACCCTGCGGTGCGAGAATGGATGTCAGACAGTATGGTGCCAGGTCTGACGGAGGCACAGTGCACGGCTGGAACAGTGACCCTGAAGCAGCTTGCCGAGGTGGCTGGACCAGATTTACCTCATGAAAGAGAGAACAACAGCTGTGCCTCCTGAAGCTGTTTGTCAAAGGAGAAAGACTACCTGATACTGCGGACCCATACCCTGACGTCCAGTTGGATCCAGACTTCACAGAAGACGGTGGTCCTTTGATGCAAAACATAAACTTTAAAATGGATTTGTGCAGCACTGGTCCAAAAGTGCTGTACTGTATCAGACACTGGTAAAAATTCTTAACAAGAGAATTTTACAAAGAAAAGCTGTTAGTGTGTGGGAAGACAAGTTGGGAGGACACAAACCCCAATGGAGGACTCTTTCTAAGCCTCTAATAAAAAAAAAAACAGACTGGTGAACTATAATGGAGCATTCTCCATAGGGCTATTACAACTAAGTTGAAATCCCAAATTTTAAATGTTTTAATTGCTGAAGGAAAAATGGCTATTTATTTATCTAGAAGAGACAGACTACAAGCTGGATCTCAACTCGATGGTGCATGTTTGTAGAAGTGCAACATCAGGGCCAGGATCCGGCTGGAGTTTCACTTCCACAGAGCAACCAGAAATGTAATGCGCTTTTGCAACTGTGGAGTTTTGAAGAAATGTATGCACTATTTCTGATCAGGACGAACTAAAGTTCAACAAGCATCTTATGTAAAGATGTATGTATTTTTGATCTGATCAGGTTTTTAAACGTGTTGTGTTACTTTATTGTATAAATAAAAGAAGAGTCAAAAAGAGTCTCTCTCTCTCTTTCTCTCTTCAATGCGTCTCCTACTTCCTGAACTTTCTGTGGACTCCTGGAACCCTGAACCAGGTTGTTCCTTTTCTCATCTGCTTGGTCAATTCATTCCTTAGTCCTAAACCTAAACTTCTCATGGGGACCAGTCCTTGGTCCCCACAAGTGCCTAAATGTCCTCCAAATGTACCATAATTCTGGGAAAATATCCCAACAAGCTAACAAATACAGCTAACACACACTTTCTTTGCAGGTAGTAACTTTTTTTTCATAGCTTTTGTTTTTGCTTTATTGAGGAACATTATATTTTAGCATGAGCTCCAACAATTGCTGAGTCATAGTGTCCCTGTTGTCCTCAAAGGTTCCATGTGGTTGGGTAGGAGCTCAATGACTTCCATTGGGAATTAAGTAATATGATAAAGATTTTCAATAAACAAAGTCCAACTACTGTCTTGATTTTGAGAGAGAACAGGCAACAATGTTTTTTAAGTTCTGAAGGTATTGCTATAAATGTCTGCTTTGATATAATAATATCTCTGTAAACACAGCTATGGATGAACTTAATGAAACATTCATAACACTTGAAGGACATGTAGAGTTACATAAATACAAATATCTTTATTTTGTATTCATGCTAACAGCCTATGTTTGTATTATCATCTGTAATTTGACTATTGTGTATGTTATATGGATGCACAGAAACCTCCATGAGCCCATGTACATATTAATTGCAGCTTTGCTTCTGAATTCCCTTGTTTTCTGCACTAATATCTATCCAAAGCTGCTTTCAGATTTCTTATCTGAAAAGCAAATTGTATCATATTCATATTGTTATATTCAGTTTTTTCTTTTTTATTCTTTAAGTGGTTCTGAGTTTTGGTTACTGGCATTTATGGCTTATGATCGTTATGTATCTATATGTAAACCTTTACAATATGCAACTGTAATGGGACGAAAAACTGTAAGTATTTTTCTGAGTTTAGCTTGGCTTGTGCCTGCTAGTGTGACTGGGGTCCAGGTAATATTGAGCTCCAATATAAAACTCTGTAAACTGAATTTGAATGGAATACTGTGTAACAATTCAATATATCATATGTTCTGTGTGAGTTCAAAGGTGCACATTGTATTTGGTGCTCTTTCTGTAGCAGTGACTGCTTTGTTATCTATGCTTTTCATAATTTTTTCTTACACCAGAATACTAATAATAGCCTTTCAGAGTTCTCAAGAAGTCAGAAAGAAAGCTGCTAAGACATGCACACCTCACTTGTTAGTTCTGATGAGTTTCTCCTGTTTATGTGCATTTGATGTAATCATAGTCCGTCTGGGATCAAACTTTACAAAAGTTGTTCGTCTAGTGATGACTTTACAGGTGATATTGTATCATCCTCTTTTTAATCCAATCATATATGGCTTGAAAGTGAAGGAAATATCCAAACAATTGAAAAGGTTGTTTCATGAAGTTTTAGTTTTAAAGTTGAAGAATTGAGATAAATCTTATACTCTTATATTATTTGCAAATTATTAGTTATATAGCTTTGATTCACTGAGTTGCTTTCACCCCAATGATACATGACTCATTTCACACAAGCTATTGACAATCTATGGATAAATAGAAAACGTGCTTTGCCTTTGTTGTAAAATTGTTTGCTGCATTGTACACCAAAAAATTTAATTTCATGCAGAACCTGTCTTCTTCCTGAAAAGTAAAACGGCTGAACTTTACAAATTTTTGTGAAAGTAGTTACTATACAAGTTTCTACCCCTTACATGATAATTCACTTTCTGAAGTGGTTTAATTAGGTTTTAGAGCTCATCATAGTAAACAGCTTAACAGTTTTGGTAAAATTAACTAATGATTAACTAATTCTTGTGGCCTCAGATAATGTACTTGTATCTCTACTCCTCCTGTTAGATCTTACTCCTGCATTGTACTTAAACTCAGACAACTTTGATTGTCATTTTGTATACACAGTGTATACCAAACACAATTTCCTTATCTACAGCTTTTATATTTATTTGGGTGTCATAGGTTGCAGCAGCTTTGAACAAATTATATTCAGAGCATTCAAAAAAGTTCACGTTGGTAGAAATGAGGGACTACAGTCTTCAAATTAGCATGGTTAAAATCCCCTACAATGATGAAAACGCCCCTGTGTGTACAGATTGAAGATCAGAGATAGCATGGTATAGTCTTCATAGCTTCTTTTGTATTAGCGTTGGGGGACACGTAAACAGCAGTAATGCTAACCACACTGAACTCTCTAGGCACATAGAATTTGCAGTTAACAGTCACAAACTCGATGTCTGGAGAGCAGAAGCTAGCGACCGATCTACCATTTTTACACCAGTTATCTATGAATGAAGCTATGATTCAGTCAGGATGATGGCGCAGTGGTTACTAATCTCCTTGTTTGAACAGAGTTCGATTCTGAGATTAACCATTTTGCTCTCCAGTAAACAGACATAGAAGAGCAGGATTGATGGGATTGGGGTTCTGTCGTAATTCCATCTTAGCTTCTCTGTTAGCCCGCCTCTACTGCCCCTCTTATGCCGTTTAGCACACCGCTTCCTCCGGCTTTCTCCTAGGCCTGGCCTGCTGCGTGAGCCTGGTGCTTTTTTTTCTTCCATCTGTAAACGATCAAGAATGGTGGATCAAGGTGAGCAAGCAGCAGCTCCTAATGGTTGATAAAGCTGTAAACGACAGTGTTTTACACATCATCTTGCATTGTGTTGTTGTCTGCTTGTGGTGTGTGCAGAACACGCCCCCCCAGAGCTTGCCAGAACAGACGGAACGCTACATAGCATATAAATACTGCAGACCCAGTGACGGGTGGCTCATTTTGAAATGTCTGTGCTTCAAGCATAATGACCCCTTTAGGGTGTAATTTGAACAGACCCAGCATAGTCCAAGTTTGGGATCATTCCGGTTGTCATTGGCTTTAGATGACCATAATTCACTGCTAGCCGATTGCACTTTAGGAGGTAGGTGTACAACAATTTCAGGCACATTACTGGCCAACTGTCTGATTTCAAAGCCTCCCTTGCGTCTGTCCTTTCCATTGTGGTGAGCTATATGATGCGGTACATACCAGGACTCTGTGGACTTGATGCCTCCTCTGCAGAGATCTCTGCAACATAGCCTGACTGACTCAATCTCCTTATAGTATGAGGCAGCTTGGATAGGGCCTTTGGCTAATCAGTACTCAGTACGGCACAGGTAGGCATCACTGTGTGTGTTTTGAGATGCAGACAGAGTGTGGAATTGTGTCTGGTACAACAGTGGAGTAGCATATAGCTGAGTTCCATCAACATATACATATTCGGAGGCTGTCTGTAGATGAGTAAGCGCTTGTTGGTCTTATTTGGAACACATTACCATCTTCTTCCTGACATATGTGAGTGTGTCAGTGTTCTAAAGCCGTTCCATATTATTGATATGTCTGAGCCAATGAATGGCCAGTATTAGGTACAGGTCCTGAGATAAACTCAGCTTTCAGCAGAAAAGGTCCTCTATTTTACTTTTTAGTTTGTGTTCCTCTGTTTTTAGCCTTTAAATTATGTGCACATCTAAAATAAATAATTATATAAATTGATATTCAGATATATCAGATAGAGTTGGTCAGTAATTATATTGATATTACAATGGAACATTTCTAATCCCCCTCCTGTTAGGGATTCTATTCCTGTACACTACAGGAAGCAGGGCCATGATGAGGTGGAAACTGCGCCCAATCCAAAACATTTTTGCACCACTGGAGAATTGGCCTGAAAAGGGCAAAAGCTTGAACAATGTAAGCCCGCCAGTAGAATGCCTCAGACTGCTTCTGAAGGTTAAGGGAAATGGGTAGACGATGGAGTCTCCCTAGGGTATCCATTGATAAATAAAGACTTGAATTTAATCTCTAACGCCTGTTTAATCATGACTTCTACTTTCTGTCAACCAAATGAATCTTGGGGAGGTCGCGTAGGACCAGAATATCCTCTTGTTTAACCTTAACATGTGTTTAAAATTATTTAGAACTCTCAATAAAGATTCAAAATTTTGATTTCAACATCATGCAGGGTGGAAATATCTTAACATCAGTTTGCTTTTATCTATATAGTGCCTGTTCACTTCATGTCATCTCAAGGTAATTTACAAAGTGAATGCAATGAAATCCTACAGAAAAATTTGTCAGTTCCTGCCAAAGGAAACCTAACAGATTGCATCAAGTTTTTCCATTTCATTCACTCCTCCTCAAAGGGTGTAGAGCCATAGCTGTTAATAAAAGAGAGAGATTGTCATTTTGTTTGAGCATGAATTTGTATCATGCTATACAGCTTAAGACTGGTTAAGGTTAGGGATGTTTTGATCAGGATTTTATCAATGCCAATCCGTATCAGATGCAGTTCAAATAAAGCCTGAAAATCAGCTACATTGCATGTGTCCAAAACTGGCTGCATATAGGCGGGCATTATTGTGGAGGAACAAACGCTTGATACTACTGGAAGTTATTACCAATGGAAGAATGAGAAGGTAAGTTTTCCAAGTTCCTATTGACCTGCTTCAGCATGATGATTCATGACTTAGCAGCTGCACCAGTGTCATAGAGGGGCAATGGCAAAAACTATGCATCCCTGGTGCTGGATTTTCTACTACATAAAATCTATGTAATCAAAGTGTTGGAAGATGATTTAAAGGTCCATTGGCAGGTCTGATGTTAAATTTTCCAAAGAAATTGGAAGTGTTTTGGGAAAACAGTAATTCAGCGACAGAACAGTAGGCCAACTGATAAAAGTGTATAGTTCAAGGAGGTCAGCAACTTCCTGCATAGTCAATCATTATACATCTCGAGACTTCATGTGACCTTCAGATTAGCTCAAAAACAGTGCACTGAGAGCTTCATAGAATGGGTTTCCATGGTCAAGCAGCTGCATTCAAGCAACAAATTAAGGTCCACAAAGACATGGATGGCAGAGTCTGGTTTGGATGAACTTGACTATCTCACAGAGTGCTAAACCCAATATAGCACCTTTTGGATGAAAAAGAGCAAGACTTAGAGGCATGCCTCTAAGTCATCAATAGGATGATTGATTACCAATTTTATTTAAGAGTCAAGTAATGCAGCCACATTCCTAACATGAAAAAGCATTTCTGGAAATGCTTTTTCATTTGAAATTTGT